CTTTCATTTTAAGAAGACTTTTTAGGGACTATTTCTGGTTTCCGTTTAAAAGATTATATTAGGCAATAGTTTCAGGGGTTCATTCATCCTTCATGGCTCCAGAAAGTCAGGAGTCCATGAGAATTTGAAAATCTTGTTCTGTATTTTCCCACTTTTGATCTGAATTCTTCTATGGAATCTTTGATCAACATGTTCAGTAATGGTAGCCAGGCACCATTGTGTTCTTCAGGTCTCATAGCTAAAGTAGCAGTTGCTGGTGGGGACAATTAGCCACACATCCCATCATCTCCTCCTGTTACTGACGCTCCTTCTTCCTTTGTTATTCCAGGTGAATAGAGACCAACCATTGTGCCTTGGATGGCCACTTTCCAGGTTTTAAAACACCTGGCTTTCAAGACACTACACAAGGAACTAGGAGGTAAGAGAAAAACTAAATGTGCTATTAGACCGGTTAATTGTGATGTCCCAGGAAACCAGGACCCTAAACCTCCAAATCAAGGAACCAAATCCTATGAGGTTTTTAGGTGTGGCATGAGATATGTATATAAGCTGTAAGCAGCCTCAGCAGCTACTCTGTTCTGTTCTGTTTTTTTTTTTTTTTTGGGGGGGGGGGTCATTGTTGTAAATCTTGCTATCACATAACTTTCACCAATTCAACTTTTTATAAGTCTGCAACCTATTACAACAAATAAGTAATCAGCTGTGCAGCAAATCCGTGTGATTCCTCTATCACTGTTTGCCCCCCTCCACCCTACCCTCCTGCCCTTGGGAACCACTAATAAACTTCTTCTATACATTTCCCTTTTCTTGTTTTTTTATATAAGTGAGGTCAGGCAATATTTGTCCTTTGGTGATTGCCTTATTTCATACAGTATAATGTTTTAAAGCTCCATCCACACTGGATCATGTATCAAGACTTCATTTCTCCTGCAGGCTAAGAAGTATTCTATTGTACCACAGGTTTTAGCACTGGTTGATTTCTGGAAGCAGGTTAGCAGGCCTGTCTTCCAATGCATCTTAGCCTGGAAGCTCTGTTACAGCCAGTTCAGCATCACAGCATCAAGCAAGCAAGCCTCCGTGGACAAATTCAGGTGGCTAACCCGAGTGTCCTGCATGGAAGGCCAGAATCCTATCACTGAGCGACCACTGTCCCTGGATATCACTGTGTTGTTGTTGTTGATGTTAAGGCCGTAAAGTCGGTTCTGACTCATAGCAACCCTGCATAGGGTTTCCAGGGAGCGGCTGGTGAATTTGAACCACTGACTTTCCAATCCAGCACATTAACCCACAGTGCCACATGTTGTTAAGTTATCAAGTCTGTTCTGACTCATAACAACCCAGTTTGGGGTTTCCAAGGCTTTACATCTTTGCGGGAACAGAAAGTCTCATCTTTCTCTCACAGAGCGGCTGGCGGGCTCGAACTGTAGACGTTGTGGTTTGCAGTCCAGGGCTTATCGTAAGGAGCCACGTGATCCTGTATATCACATTACCCCCTGTTATTTTCATGTATAAACTCACTCAAGTTTGATAAGCCCTTAAAATAAAATGCTGAAGTTTTCCTAATTATAACTCTATTTCCAGACAGCCAGCACCAATGTGGAGTGCCCTCTGTGTCACATTGGTCTCAATTTTACAACATTCCTGAGTGGCACCGCTGTGAGGAGGCTGGCAGCAGATGTGGTAACTCAGAGTTGCTCAATCCACAAAGCAAAGCTCTTTGCTTCCCAATAAAGTGCCTGAAGGTAAAGCATTTGGCTTCAGAGAAGGTATCATCCTTTCTCAGTCAACAAGCGGTCTGAAATAAAACACACCATCCTCAGTCTTGGTGTGTGTGTTTCATGTTTGGCTACACTTACTGCCTACAGAGTGTGGTGGCTCTGTCGGATAAGCACTGGACTAAGGACCACAAGGTCAGTGATTCAAGTTCACCAGCTGCTTGGTGGAAGATGAGACTTTTTGCTCCCGCAGAGAGCTGTCTTTCCTGTCCAGACCCATCTCCCTGCTAGATAAATAACCTGAAGGCAGCAGCAAGCCTTACCCAGATGCCTCTCAGGAATAGTTCCCAAAGCGGCCTTCAAGATTATGACACACAGTCACTGTGCAGTCAACTAAGAGTTGATATGATATGAATGATTGCCTTTACTGGGCAAACTTTCCTTATATGTCTCATGTCAAATCTTCAAGTCTATCTTCATTCTCTGATAAAGGAAACTATTTATAGGCTAGATGCCACATTTATTGTTGTTAACTGCCATTGAGTTGGTTTTGACTCATAGCGACCCTGTATAGGGTTTCCGAGGAGTGGCTGGTAGGTTTGAACCACCAACCCTCTGTTCACCAGTCCAGTGTTTATCCTACAGTGCCACACCAGGACTCCAGATAACCATACTTGTTAAGTGCCATTGAGTCAATTCCGATCAATAGGGACCCTGTACAGGGTTTCCAAAAAGTAGCTGATGGGTCTGAGCTGGCGACCATGTGGTTCGCAGTCCAGTGCTTATCCTACAGCACTACACCATGCTTTTTGTTGTGGTGGTTGTTGTTAAATGCCATCAAGTCTGTTCCAACTCAAAGAGACCCTGTATAGTTTCCAAGGAACAGCTGGTGAGTTTGAACCACGAACTGTATGGTTCAAACAGACCTTGCGGTCCAGTGCTTTATCCCACAGTGCCACACCAGGACTCATACACCCTGCTTAAAGCACCATAAATGAAGGGACACTGCCATTAAAGACCTAGGGGACAAATCCTCTCCTCTGGTCTCTTTGCTTCTTCTGATTTGACAGGAAGGGCTCCACCAACCTCTGTATCTTGAGAGCCAGGATATTAAGTATCTGGATGCTCAGATGCCCTTCAAGGCCCCTATGGTCAGTCCCTGCAGCAGCTCACAGAAAAACACAAGGAGCTTGAAGCACTCCCCTGCTGCCCAAGCTGCCCTCACTATCACCAAACCACTGCCAGCCACCACCATTGGTCTCCGAACTATCCCACACTCTTCCACACAAAATTGTCATCAACACCTACTTCCTTCTTGAGTCTCAGTTAAGTTCAACCTCCTCTAACTTCTTGTTAAGTGCCATCAGTTTCGCTGTTCTGACTCATAGTGAGTCTACATAAGGTTCTGAAGCTGTAAATCTTTGTGGGAGCAGAAAGCCTCATCTTCCTCCCGAGAAGTGGTTTGTTGGGTTAAACTGCTGACCTTGTAGTTCACAATCCGGTACTTATCCCACAGAGCCACCGCGCTGCGCTCCCTTCCTCTAACTGGTGGTGGTGGTAAGTGGTGGTTATGTGCCGTGGAATTGATTATGAGTCATAGTGACTTTGTATAGGTTTTCCGAGGCTGTAAATCTTTACGGAAGACGGAAGCTTCATCTTTCTCCTACAGAAGCACTGGTAGTTTCGAACTGCCGACCTTGACATTAGCAGCCCTACTCATAACAACCACTAAGAGCTTCTTCCTCCTCTAACTAGCCATGGTATTTTCAGCCATCTCATCTGCATGCAAAGGTTGGACAATGAATTACGAGGACTAAAAAGAATTGACACATTTGAATTATGGTGCTGGCAAAAAAATATCGAAAGTACCACGGACTGCCAGAAGAACGCACACATCTGTCGTGGAGGTAGTCAGACTGCTCCTTAAAAGCGAGGATGGCAAGACTCCATGTCACGTGCTTTAGACATGTTACCAGGAGGGAGACCAAATCTGGTAAAGTGGAGGGTCAGAAAAAATGAGAACAAAGATCCTCAATGAGATGGACTGACACAATGACCCTAACATAACAATGATTGTGAGGATGATGTTGGACCCAACAATTTCAGTTGTTCTGTTGTACATAGGATTGTTGTCAGAACTTACTCTACAGTACCGAACAACAGCAACAACTAACTAACCCAATTACCAGATTTCTTGCCCTAAAATATGAGGGGGCTTTAAAAAGTTTGTGAAAACATGGAATTAAAACATAATATGATTTTTCTACTAGCTTCTTGAAGAGTAACTTCTCTTACTTGAGTGGCCAACACCTAGCTCCAGGACCTAAGCTCAACCCCTTGATCTAACCAATCTCCATTCTCTCCTCCATTACAGGTGGGGAGTGATGGGAAGATCCAATTCCCTTTTATTTCATATTTCAAATTTGAAAATTCCATATAGGCCTCTGAAATACAACTGCAAAGGGTTCAACACACTGTTCCTTCGAATGACCCGCTTAAACAGGTGTCTTAGCTAATGCAAGCTGACCTCAATTTCCCAAATGCTTGGTTTTCCAAATGCTTTAGATTATAACTTACAAAAAAAATAAAAATAAAAACTTGGTTTTCCATAAACTTTACCATCAAGAGTCTTTGCTCATTATTCCTTGGGAAAAACTGAAGGGGAAAGAAAAAACACTAATTCGGGATCTTTGAGATTTGCAGTGCCTCGGTTTCCCTTTCAGTTGCGGAGGCAATCCATGGCTTGCCCAGTCCGCACTCCCTCAACGCTCCCGGATCACCAAGGCCTCCAGAGCTGCACTCCGCTGTCTGGTGGTCGGGTGTCCACAGCTGTGTCACAACCTGGAGCCTAGGGCAAATCCAGACGGCCTAATCAGAGCTGGCCTAGGGCGCCCCGCTGTCACCTGGCACCTGCACGATAGTCCACATTCCTACTGACCGTCCCACAGCGTTGCGCGGAACCTTGCTCTCCGAATCCCACTCAAGCCCATTTTTCTCCTTGGATTCCCGAGCAAAGTTTTGCCTCCCGGCGCTCACCAGGCCAAATGGCAAAGGCACCTGCCTTACCCAGGAAAACGCAGGAACGAGTTCCTTTTGCCACAAGCTAGACAGGGGCTAGCGAGAGAAATTTAGGAAAAAGAAGAAAACAAGCCCGCGTCAGGGCCGTTCTCGCCCGGCATTTCCCAAAGAATTGCCACCTGCGGACCACGGTCCCCGGCGAGTAATGAGGCCCCGAGAGCGAGGGCCCCAATCGCCAGCCCGCCCTGCCCGGCGCGCACCCCTTACCCGTGAGGCGGCCGCCCCCCTCGCCGTGCCCGCGGCGCCGCTGTAGGATGAAGTAGCAGCTGCTCTTCTGGGTCACCCAGAGCTTCAGGGCGTTCTTGAGCAGAACCTCCTCCGGCTTCAACCACATCGCTGCGGTCCGGCCGCAGCCCACGCCACCCCGCGCCGCGCCCGCCGGCCCCGGGTCACATCGCTCCGGCCGCCAGCCACGCCGCACCGAGCCCGCTTGGAGGAAGCAACGACGCTGGGGCACGGGAACTGCTGCCTGCGCCCGAGCCCTGCGTCTCGGAAAGTGGCTCCCGGGAGGCGAGTCCCGAGGCTCAGCGTGTGCAGCTCTGGGCCCGCGCACCCTACCGCGCGGCTCCGCCCCGCCTCGCCCCGCCTTTCCAGGCCCGCCCCCGCCGCCCTCCCCTTGGCCGCTCCAGCCGCTCCGCCAGGGTTTCCGTGTCCCAGCAGCTCGGGAGCACAGTTCCGGAATGGAGGGAGGAAGTCCAGTTCCCAGTGCCAGGTTCCCGCTCCTTCCCTCCCGCCCTCCTTTCCTCTCTGTGAGCAGCGCTTGTGCGGAGAGAGGGAGAGCAGAGGTGCACCCGAGTGCCTGGAGAGTCCGAGGCACTCCTCGCATCCTTAGCCCCTCTAGGGAGGAAGCTGGAGAGAGAAGAGGCATTCTCTCTCGGCACTTCGTCCTGAGAGGAACAGGAGATGGTCACAAAAATCATCCTTTTCTCACAGTTGTAAAGTTGCCCCCACTAGGGTTTTTCTCTTTTTTGGAGAAAATGCACTCCAGAAAACTCGGGTGTGTCTAGATTAACATAGCATTTACAGTAACAAAAAAGATACATATATTTTAAAAAAAACCAAAAAACTAAAGATCATTAGCACTTAAAATTATTACTTTTTTTTTTTAATGCTTAACACACTTCTGGTGCTCACAGAAGAGATTCGACTGAGCAGCTGAAAATATAGCAATGTTGTAGGAGCAAACGCCACACTGTTAACATTGCTTTTGGGACATATTGTTGTTGTTAAGTGCCTTCGAGTCAGTTCCAACTCAACGACCTGTACAGGGTTTCAGAGGAGCGGCTGGTGGTGGGTTTGAACCACTGACCTTGTGGCTTAAACTGACACTGCAGTCCAGGGCATTATCCTGCAGCGCCACACTTGGGATATATTGTTGCTATGTGCCATCAAGTCAGTTCTGACTTACAGTGACCCTGTATAGGGTTTCCGAGGAGTGGCTGATGAACTTGAACCAGCCAACTTTGCGATTCAAAAAAAAAAAAAATATATATATAT